TGGTCAGTATATTGTATGCTACTGACTTAAGGGCACTTCAATTCTTAAATTTATGAGGGTTTTTTTACTTGATTATATAATGCTGGCATTGTTCATCTCTATAGTCATGCAATAGGTTACCATTACGAGTCTCCGGATACAAATGCCTGTAGCACGTGTGGTGTTATATTTTGCTCCATATTTCTCTTTCTACGCATTTGATTCTTACAATGGCACTTTCAGGTGCTTGCACTTACCGTGGTATCAATTGGTGTTGCTGTTGCTACGGTGACCGATCTTCAATTTCATTTTTTCGGTGCTTGCATAGCAGTAGCATGGATAATACCGAGTGCAGTTAATAAAATACTTTGGTCCAATCTACAACAAGAAGAAAACTGGACCGCCCTAGCGTAAGTCACATGCATCTAAAGGATTTTCTGTTTGGTTCATTCTGCTATTGACCAAACTAACTGTAGAGTTAGAATTTCATGTGTCTTTGCCAAATTGACAGGTTAATGTGGAAGACCACACCTATTACTTTATTCTTCCTTGTGATGTTGATGCCATCACTTGATCCTCCTGGTGTCCTGTCTTTTAATTGGAACATCTATAACTCTTCAATTATTGGTGGTTCGGCTATTCTTGGTTTCTTACTTCAATGGTCCGGTGCCCTAGCACTCGGGTATGCATGTTCTGCTTATATTTTTTTAATTTTGCTTCTTTTCCTTACAAGCAATTTCTTTCATCTTAGTCAATTTACCACGCCGTTGGATTTTTTTTTTTTATTTTTTTTTTTTAAGGTGGATTGAATGGTATCGGACTTACAAATAGAAGTTAGGATAATATCATTTATTTTATTGTCTACTCGTGCCCGATAACGTGTACCAATACAATACTAAAGCTCTTTCAATGAATTTTCAGGTCTCAAATAAAAAGCTTGGCATTTTTCTTGCATTGATATGAAGAAGAAATCATGAAGTATTGGGACACCTCTCTTAAAATATATATGTATAAACAGGTTATATGTAGTTTTTATTTAGAGTCAACAAAATCGTAACTTTAAGACCGTCACATCTTTTGTTGCCGTTTAGTCCTATTTAGTATTATGTATTGTGATCTGTTAGTTATTGTATTGAGAAGTGTTTACAAATGGTTTGTATTATGAATAAATAGAAATGAGTGGTGGATAGTATTTATTATGGGATTTATGAAATGTGGATAAAAATGGTTCGAGTGTTTATTAAATGAACCACTTCATTAAGAAAATCTCATGGAGATCCCTTCTCTTGTATTATTGAGCCAAGGCAAAAATGCCATTAATGGTATTTGAGATATAGGGAGGGCAACATGATGGGATGGGGGGTGGGGGGGTTTGCCATTCCCATCCTGTCCCATTAGGGATTTTCGAGAGACGAGAGTAGTGATGGGATGGAGCGGCGTGAGATTAAAATATTAGGGGCAGGTCACTCTTTGTTTGCTGTGTTTGTATATACCTGTTGCGAATGTATCTTATTGCCTAAAATGACTCTATTTGCCTACACAGTGACTATATTGTAGTCGAAAGTGAGCGTATGACCGCGACAATATGCTCGAATTCTCAGATGCGATATACTATGCGAGTTGGAAGTGTCAATAGAGATTATTTCTGTGAATTAATGAAAGGTAAGAAGACACGTGCTATTAAAATATAATGGGTGTGGCACTGATACAAAGTGAAAAGGTTGGAAAGTGATAGTATAGTAAACCGATTACAATTACTCCCAACACAAGGTTATGTATCGCTTTTATGGATACTAGTTTTCCACCCGTACAATGCACGGGCTACGTTATTTTTTAGGTAATATTATCGTGTCAAAATATTTATTTATTTCTCTCAATAAATCTACAAATTTGATTACTTGTTGTGCAAAGAAATGAAGAAAAGAAGTATATATATATTTTTTATAGATGTTGCGTAAAGAAATTGAGAAAAGTATGAAAAATAGTATAATAATTTATAACCCAAATAAATTATAAAGTGATAATAAACAATAGACATTATTTAATATACTCTGTGTCACGTTATATAAGGGTAAAATATATTTGTATAAAAAAATATATCAATTACCGAAGAAAAAAAGAAATTATATTGAGAAAATTGTCACGAAAAAATAATAAATATTAATAAAATAATTGATTTTTTTAAAGAAAAAGGACGAGTTATACGTATTTTTTAACACACACGTTTTATGTACGTTTAACTATTTTCGATATTTATTTAGATCATTCGATGTATCTATTGTATAGTTCTTGAAATCAACTTCGAGAGAATATGGAAGATTTATAAAGATTTCTGATAGGTTCTATAAAAAAAAACAAAAAAACTAAATAAATCACCTAATGAAAAAAAAAAATTGACACAAAAAAATATCAATCACCCAATAAAAAAAAAATTGACACTGAGCATCATTATTATTATTTAAAAAAAAAAAAAAAGTCGCCGACGGAGCAACTCCGTAATGCTCCGTGATGCACAAAGCAAAATTGCTCCTGGCATCCAGGAGCAAGGAGCAAAATTGCTCCGCGCATAGTTGCTCGATTGGTTTTTTTTTTTTTCCATTACATGATTTATTTAATTTATTTTTTTTTATAAAAATCTATCATAAATCTTCTATATTTTCTCAAAATTCATTTCGAGAGCTATATCATAAACACATCGAATGATCTAAATGAATATCGAAAATAGTTAAACGTACATTAAACGTGTGTGTTAAAAAATGCATATAACTCGTTTTTTCTTTAAAAAATCAATTCTTTTATTGATATTTATTATTTTTTCGCGACAATAATTTTTGACGTTCCTAATAAACTTTTAAAATTTTTTAATGTCAAAAGAGATATCATTTAAAAAATTATAAATTTGAATAACAAGCTAACTTTATAAATTCATTGACGATTGTATGGTAGTCGAATGCATAAATCTTCTATATTCTCTCGAAACTCATTTCGAGAACTATGTCATAGATACGAATACGGTAAGGTGCAAATATGGTAAGTTGCTTGCAAATACGGTAGATTGTAAATACGATAAGATATTTGCAAATACGGTAAGTTGCATATACGGTATGCTTAAAACCAGTATCTAAACTACATATACGATATACGATAATGCTGTTTCATTAACACCACAATATTCTAACAATAAATAACTTTTGCAATATAAGAGAAGGAGTGATTAATATTTTTTTTACCTATAAGTAGCTTTTGCAATTATAAGTTTTTTATTACTTTTAAATAACTTGAAGTGCTTTAAAAAATCATAGTTGTCCCTCAACTATTACAAATGCAATTTATGCTTGTCCCATTTTTTTTTTTTTTTTGGAAGTTGATTATTCCAAATTCAATTTAGAAGATTGCAAATTGGTCCCTAAAATATTCTTGATTTTTTTATGCACTTAAAATAATTTTTAAGTAATAAAAAATATAAAAATTTCATTATTTTATTATTAAAAATTTTTAGGACTTAATTAAATTCTAAATATTTTTATAAAAATCAAGAATATTTGTTAACTGATATTTGCTTGGTGGGAGTTTTTTTTTTAAGTGTTCTCATTTTTTAAAATAAAAAATACTACAAAGTGCTTGATATACCACATTTTCTATACGTTCATGAGTGATGTGGGTTTTAATTAGGTTATGCGATTCATTGTGACAAGTTTCCAATTCTTGTGATGTTGCTATTAAAGTTTGGCATGATGTTGCTGTTTTGGATGATTCGCCACATCTATGCTATAGTTAGTTCAAATAGTCGAACAATATCTATGTGGAATTTTATTTTTTCATGTTTAGTAGTTGTTTAAAGAAGCTTAATATGATCGCATGTACATATTTGACATTTTGACGTTTATATATATTTTTCATGTTTATCAAATATAGTTAAAATGCGTTACTTATTTTGTACATGATTAATTGTTTAATTTAGTGGGAGTTTAAATGTTGAAAGAGTTTAAGTAATTCTGACCTAGAACCTATGATTTTGCACTATGAAATTAATTTTACGATAATGTAACATTAGGATAATGGATGATGATTAGGAATTTAGTGAATTTTCGACTTCATGTCAAGTGTGAAATTATTATAAAATTTAATTTGCATGTGCACAAAATAATATGTTTGCATAAATGGATATTTATATGATTGTCTCCAAAATTTTGATATCGTGACATCTAAGAATATCATAGTTGACTTTAATAAGGGTGACAAATTGAATGGTGATAACTATAACACTTGGCACCATAAAATATGGGAAAAATTGCACCAACAGTTCCTAACCTTTCACATTTTTGCAGGATTTATCATAATCTTCATTTTGTACCACCCACAATTCAAACCTTTTAAAAATATGCACCCAGAATCCAAATGGATAGAAACCGTCAATTTGACTGTTAGTTAACCACAATAGTGAAAGGGAAAATTGCAGCAGCGGTCCCAAACTTTTGAATTTTTTGCAAACTTTACCTTAACTTTCAATTTGTGCTACTCTCAATCCCAAACCTTTGAAAAATTAGCACCTTGGGTCCAAATGAATAGATTCGGACGTTAATTGACCAAGAATTTTTTTTTTGACCAAATTTAAAAAGGACAAAATGGTAAATTCATAATCATTCCACATAAAATAATTAAAACAATTTTCAAAAATAAATAAATAAAAAGAGAATGACACTGTTCATCTTCCCCAACCACTCCCACTCCACCCCAATCCACTCGCCCTAGCCATCTGAACTAATTCTCACATAATTCATCTTGAAAAATGATAATATATTGATAGAACTTCACATTCTAGATGTGGTATGACAGATCTTCAAAAAATTTCTAAGTCAAGAAAGCTTTTGCTATTTACTCCACTATTCCATTTGATCTAATGATTATGAAAGTCTACTTCCTCAATATTTTATGGGTTTTCTCCAGATTTGGTGGATAGAAGATGGCAAAACCTTTTGTAAATTTTTGGCCTCTATTTGTCAACACCTGTTGTCCATTGTTTTTCTTGTGAAATATAAGAAAAATTATAGCAATATCTCAAGAGAAGTGTAAGTTGCCTTCGAGAAGAAGAGGCTGGCCGATTATTAACGATAGTATCAACTGGGCTGGGGGATGGGGTTGGGATTGGAGTTGGAGTTGGAGTTGGAGTGGGAGTGGGAGTGGGAGTGGGAGTGGGGGGGTGGGTTGGGAAGATGAACAATTATTTGGACCACAGGTGCTAATTTTTCAAAGGTTTGGGACTGGCAGTGGCACAAATTGAAAGTTAAAGTAAAGTCTGCAAAAAACTCAAAGGTTTGGGATCGTTGCTGTAATTTTTCCATAGTAAAATTTGAACAAATGTAATAAGGGCAATATTGTAACTTTGCAATTTTCATATAAAAAAATTTTAAAAAAAAAAAGAAAGAAGGGCTACTATTATCTTCTCCACAAAGCCCATCCCACCCCAAAATTGTCACAGCCGGCACAAGTGTCCCTGATGCTACCCAACGTCGCCACCTCACACACATACCGCCAGCACGTCAATCCTCACAGTTTGCCTCTATTAATCCTACTACAAACCACTAGCACCACCATTGTCAATCCCATTACAAACCATCGACGCCACCGTTGTCAAAAACTGCTTTGTTGAACTTTCAATTTTCAATCCAGAAGGTAAAGTATCACAGATTCATTTCATTCTAATGCTAATTAGACCTATTTCCAGTCAACTCTAGTAAGAACAAAATCAATATTTGATCGGCGAATTGGAACTTTAATTGTCCATTTTTAATCGACGAACTGGATTAACAACATTCAAATAAAATTGAGTATTTGAAGAGCTGGAAGTGAGTGTTTGTGAGTTTTCATTAGAGAACTAGGTGCTTTCTTACGGAATGTAACGGAGAGGATGAAGGACGATGTAGTTTTATGGTGCGGTGCGGTGAAGAAGATAACAGTAGCCCTTTTTTCTTTTTAAATTTTTTATATGAAAATTGCAAAGTTAAAATTTTGCATTTATTACGTTTGGTGAAATTTTACTATTATGGTCAATAACGATCAAATGGACGATTTCCATTCATTTGGACCCCGGGTACATATTTTTGAAAGGTTTGAGACTGTGAGTGGTATAAAATGAAGGTTAGGATAAAATCTGTAAAAATGTGAAAGGTTAGGGACTTCCTAAAATTTTATATGTGTTGGAGGAACATAATTACCTTGAGGATATTAATTACGTGATGAAAGACCCAAGGTAGGTCAAACTACTCAACAGAGAAGGGATTAGGAAACTTACCGGACATAACAAATGAAAGATTTCACTGCTTGTGCAATTTTGGTAAGTTTAGTAGTGGACGATCTCATTCATGAGTGTAAGCAGTTCCCGACTGTTCATGACATCTGGATATATTTGAGAGAGAAATATGGTGCTGCTAGTGTGACTAGACTCAGACAATCGATTGTTAAGTCTGATACGTATAAGAACTAGACTCAGACAATCGATTGTTAAGTCTGATACGTATAAGAAACATCATAATCACAACATCACATAGCAAGTGAGGACCATGCCTATTATGATTAGGGAGTTGAAGTCGGCTGGTCCATATACTCTCTAACGAGTAGTAAGATCAGGCTTTGATCCACTCCTTTCATAATAATTAGGAATCTGAAAGTCAATCTAACTCAAAATGATAGCACAAACACATGCTAATGCTGCCCGCCTTGTGGAATTAGAGGATAAGTGCATTGGTGCTGTTAAATCTCTGGGACATGGTTTTGTTGCTAATTCTAGTTTTGGAAAAGCTCCATACTTTAAGCGTAAGAAAAACTGGTTCAAAGGCAAGAAATGGAAGGGAAAAGAAATTGGACAGGAACCTAAAAAAAACCCGCAATAGGAAAGATAACTGGTGTGCAAAGAAGAAAGATAAGAGCAAGCTAAAATGCTTCAACTATCAGGTACGGGGTCACTTTGTTCAGGAATGCCCTTAGCTAAAGAAGACTCAAGAGTGATAGATCATGTAACCAGGGATTGAGAAGCATTTGTGGAGTTCTGTCGATCTCCAACTAGTACAAAATGGATATACGTCGGCAACGATGATAGAGTGGCGGTGAAAGAGATTGATACATGCATGTTACATTTGCATGGTGGCCGAACTATTTTCCTTCATGATATCTTGTTTGCACTGGGAATACGAAGGAACTTAATTTCCATTGGTTTTTTTATTTTTTTTTTATTTTTTAAGATTAGGTTTTTGTTTGAACTTTTACGATAACTCTGTTAGTATAAACAATGGTAATGTATTTTATGGATCTGGACATGTAGAAGGTGGCTTTATAACGTTGGATTATGATTCAAACTCTTGTAATTATTATGTTGATTGTTATTTTTTTATGAATGTATCTTTTTCTTCTTCTAATGGCATGTTAGATTAGGTTCAATCTCTAACGTTTTTTTTTTTTACCTACTTGTGAACACAATACTCGAAATCATTCAGTAAAGCCTTAAGATCTGGACTTCCATTACAGTTAATCCATTCAGATATATATGGCCCTATGAATGTGAGGGCAAGACATGGAACCTCTTATTTCATCACTTTTATTGATGATTTCACGTGATATAATTATGTCTATTTGATTTCTCATGAGTCAGAGACATTAGAATATTTTAGATAATATTTAAATGTTGTAGAAAATCAAATGGATAGAAAGGTGAAAGCCTTAAAGAACTAACCGAGAATGTGAATATCTGTCAGAAGAGTTGAAAGAACTATGTAATGACAAGAAAATCGTTAGACAATTAACCATTCCCAATACACCTCAACAAAATGATGTTGTTGAGAGGAGGAATAGAATGTCGCTTGAAATTGTGAGATCTATGATGTTGCAGGCTAACTTCCTTATTTCCTATTGGGGAGATGCTTTGTTAACTGCAACCTACATTCTGAAAAAAGTTCCCTCTAAATCGATACCTACTACACCATATCAGTTTTGGATAGGTAGATTCCCTGATTTGAGTTCTTCTAGATCCTATGATCAGTTGCCTATATCCATGATTCCTTAAATAAATTAAAAAAAAAAAAAAATTGGGTCCTCGGGGAAATGTATCTTTATTATAGATACTCAAGCCAGTCCAAAACATGTGTTCATAAGTGAAAATCAAGATGTGATTATAACTAAGATTATATGATGAAGAACCAAAATCAGTACAAGAAGCACTATCATGCCCTATTAAGGAAAATTAGAAGAATGCAATAGAAGATGAAATTGAGTCTATGAAATCGAATTAAGCCTATAACTTGGTTGATCTTCCATCTAGTCGAAAAATCAATTGGGAACAAATGGATTCTCAAAATAAAGCGAAATGCTAATGGGACTATAGAGAGGTATAAGGTTCGCTTGATAACAAAAGGTTATACTCAACATGAGGGTAAATATTATGAAGAGACCTTTTTCACTAGTAATGAGATTTACTTTAATTTGCTAATCTTAGCTATTGTAGTAAGTTTAGATTTAGAATTACATCAAATGGACATGAAAATTGCATTTCTCAATGCAAAATTGGATGAAGAAATTTACATGCAACAAACAATATGTTTCATTAAAATAGGGCAAGAGAATAAAGTTTGTAAATTGAATATATCAATCTATAGCCTAAAGTAGTCTTCTAGACTGTGGTACTTGAGATTTGACAAAGCAGTAATCTCATACAATTTTATCATGATGGACGAAGGACACTATATTTATTTGAAAATGTCCAATGAGAAATTTGTAATATTATCTCTCTTCATGATTTTTTTACTGGTTGGGAATGACAATGAGTATATTAAAACCATTAAAAAATGGTTATTCTCAAATTTTGAAATGAAGGATATAGGTGAAGTAGATTATATGTTAGGTGTTAAAATTTATAGAGAACGTTCAAAGAGACCTTTTACTTTGTCATAAGAGCCATATATAAAGAAAATTCTTGAACGTTTCAAAATGGAGAATTACAATCCCATTGATACTCCTGTATCGAAAGGTGAAACTCTAAGATTTCATATGTGCGGTAAAACTATTGAGGAAGAATAAGTGTCTAGAGATGTTAAGATATATATAATTGATAGATTAGGTCAAGTGTATCATGTGCGAGTGAGACATGTTAGAAGAAAAATGAGTCATCCATGTAGGCTAACATGACCTGAATTGCATGAAAGCAAGTGGAGGTAGGGGGTTAATGAGTAGAGCTCGCGAGTTGAAACTCGAGGCTAGAGTTCGACTTGAGTAAAATTAAGTCGGGCTATTTTGGCTCGAGTCGAGCTAAGCAAAAACTCAGCCAAAAAATCGAAGCTCGACCCGAGCTTTCTACTTTGGCTTTATCGAGCCAAGCCAGCTCGATTTCTTTCTCTCTTCATATAAGCAGGACAACTGCCTTGCATTAGGCAACTACATGCTAACCTTTTTTTTTTGTCAAGTTGGCTTGGGCTAGGCCCGGTACCCCAAAATGGGGCTCAACCCGAGCCTGGACAGAGCCTCGAGCTTTTTCCAGGCTGAACCGTGGGTGGAGGGAGGAGTTGAGTTTTTGAATTTGAAAATTAACCTCCCCACCGCCAATAACTTCCATTACTTCATGATTAAGAAAAGCAAACATAAAAAAAATTCATATATAGAGAGGAGGAAAATACATGGGTGGAAAGAATTGATTTTTGGAAATATAACATCTCAAATTTGGTTTTTGGATTGTGAACATAAACTCCTTTCTTGGTGATTGAGTTTTTGACCGAGAAACAGGTAGAAGACGGTGTGGAAAGCAAGTAATTCAACCTCGTTTTGAAATTTTCAAGTAAGTTTTACAACTTAGAATTCGGTTAAAAGCATGCAAGCATGTTTTACAGAAAGATTTCCATTAGAATATTTCTTCAGATCCATTAATAGCATTTGCATTTGTTTAATTTGATAAAGGCGTTTTTTTTTTCTTCTGATCAAGATGCAAGGCTTTTAACTCGATTTCAATGTGGCGGCATCAAGAATTTTTCTTGCAAGGACGAAAATTTTCATGGTCCGCCAAGCCCTCGGCCCAGCCATATGCCAAGCCATGTGTAGTTGATCTATCGTTCTCTTCTCACTTTACACCTCTGGTCATTACCATCACTAAAAAGGAAAAATCACCGAGTTTTCAATAGATGCAATTGCAATTCGACTCTCCTCTGCTTTTAGTAACACTATAAAACTGAAAATTGAAGTTGTAAAATATCATTCTTGATTTCATTGAATCACAAATTTGTACAAGTCACTTGTATCAAATTGAATTCTATAAGATAGTGATAATTATGGAAGATATTTACAACGAGATTAGTAGCACTTGAGAAGGTTATCTATGGTTGAGATAAGGTTATCAACACAAGATATTTTTGATTCAAAATTGACACCATTATTCAAACCGAGATGTAAAATTTAGATCTTAGAATTGAACATGCACGATCCACATACACTGCACCATTTAGTATAAATGACACCAAACGTCGTTATTTATTATGTCAAGCGAGCAAAATTTGTTAATAAAAAAAAAAGTGCAGGAATACCAAACTATTTAAGTACAAAAATCTAAATGATATTAAAGTTATATTGCATTATCTTATTTAAATATGTTTAATTCTCGATTCCTAATTACTAAATTTTGCTGATTTGGCATATTAAATAATAATATTTGGTAACACGTTGGCACTGAACAATGTCATGTAAGATTCAACATTTTCTTAACCTAGTCCTTGTTTGAGCCCTATTTGTTTCATCAAAATATATTTCTCAATAGTGATTTGACTATACTTCAATTACATTTTTTCAATAAAATAATATTAAACATAAATTCATGACTTTTCTTTATTTTTTAATCACATATTTTTCATCAATACGCTATTCAAAATGCATTATTTACAAGAATAAATCAAACAGGGGCCTAGTGATCATTAATGTAACAATTGTAAACTTGAGTAACTATTATAATAAGAAAATGACATCGATGACCATTGACATAATTACTTAAAACTTCAGTATACATTGGCATAATTAGCTCCAAAATTAGAGATTTGGGACTAATTGTACTACTACGAACTTGCTTCTTTTTAAAAATTAGGGACCACATTTCTACTACAACAATAGATTGGGGACCAAGGGTGCAAGTTTCTCATTTCTCATGGGTGATTTTTTCTTCTTGGCAAGGATTGCTATAAAGAAACTAAACGCAAATAAAGAAACTTCGACCCAAGGAGAACTTCGTCAGTCGATCAGCCATGGCCAATTCCGATCCCGACAAGTTGATCACTAAAGCCGATAAACTGTCAGTTTTACTCTTTTTCTATTTTATTTAATATAATCTCGCGTTATATAGGTAAACAGTACTAATTTGAACGATTTAACTAGTTTATTGATAATTTTTACATAAAAACAACATTACGCTGGATGATTATGTTGTACGGGGCTCTTCACGGGTCAATGTCCTAAAATATTGATTATAGGAGGCAATCAATAAAATAATTGATCTAAATCCGAGTAGAAACCAGTCTTAGCTTTTAGTTATGTTCAATATGATCTGTTTCCTTAAGTCAAATAATTAGGCTAATTATGGTAAAAAAATCATTTTTGTTGTGTTTTTTCCATTTAATTTTGTAGAACAAAACTGAGTATGACAAGGTGGAGTGCAGATTGGAAGGGTGCCACAGTTCTTTATGAGCAGGCGGGTATGTTTGATGTAACATACATGAGGTTAAAGAAAATGAATTATATTTGGAGCAATTTTATGTGTTCATTTTTTTGATTAGTTTATATGGGTTTCATTTGTATGTGGCAGCAAATGCATATAGGCTGGCAAAAAATTATGAGAAAGCAAAAGAAGCATTTGAGAAAGCTTCAAAAGGACAGGAAATGCTCTCCTCGTATCCAAGTTGATTTATCCTTCATTAATACAAGTAATCTAATAGATTTATACAGTATCTTGTTGTATAATGTTGGAACCTTGACGAGCGAATCAGGCCTTGGGATGCTGCGAAGCATATGGAATCTGCAGCTGTTCTTGCAAAGGAAGTACGCAACTGGAAAGAACTGTCTGAATTTTCTCGACATGCATCTGAGTTGTATACTGAGTGTGGAAGGTCACAACCTGCATCAGATGCACTTGCAAAGGGTGCTCGGTATGATATGCTGCTCTCTTCTGGTTGTAGTGTCAATGCATATGACATTACATTTTGAGGAGTTTTCTCATTTAATAGACAATTTTTTTGAGCAGTCTTTGTCTATTACGTCTATATATATATATGGAACTGATCTCTTAAGTATTAAGTGACATGACACACTACAATAGGTGGTGTAATCAGTAGTATGACCAACCTTATTTCCTACCACTTATTGTAGTGTGTCATGCCACCCGAGGGTTAACACCGATGCTTAAAAGATCAGTCTTGTGTGTGTGTGTGTGTGTATAGAAAGTAGACATTATGATTTTTAATTGTGCAAAATTGTAGATTGCGTGATCTGGTAAAGACAATGTTATTCATGAATGTTTTCTGTTTTGAAACATCAATTACATGCATGTTGTTACATGTTGCGTGTGAAATACTGGAATTCCTATCTCATTTGCTGAGACTTTTCTATATGTTCTAACTTTTTTCATTAATATCTATATTTTATGAATGTCAACAAAGTATAATAAGTAATTTCTCCCAGTTGTTCAATCATTTCACAACTGCTATAAATGTCTCTGGGGCATTTGAACCAGTCTTATCAAAAGGAAAGGAAATGTGCATAATATTTGGTGGAATTTGACCCACTGATTCAATTCAATTTTGTAGATAGAGCTATAAGTTCAATTGTTTATTTATAATAGTTGATACTCATTAAACTGTTATGTTTCTTAAAGTGCTTTAGAAGATTTTGCACCTGAGGAAGCTATTCAGCTTTACACTGATGCTTGTGATGCTCTTGAAGAGGATGGAAAGGAACAAATGGCCTTTGATCTATATCGTGCTGCTACAAGTGTTTATATAAAGCTTGAGAAGTAAGATTTTTTTTTCTTATAAACATTAACACAATTGAAGAAACAACTAATTGCTTAGCATTCTTACTTGTTAGCATTATGTAAGATTGAAATGATGGTGTTCTACTTCTAAGTTTCATATTGTCCCTTTTTTCATCAAAAAAAAAAAAAAATAATAATAATAATAATAATAAAAATAAAAATAAATAAATGAGCATGACATGTTCCTCAATACTAATGAATCAGAATGCCCATCTCATTTGTTCTCATGGTGACTATTTTAGGTTATTTGCCAAATATCCGTTTATGCTAAGATTTACTCCTCTCTATCGATGATTATTTGATTATCCCAAGTTTGCACATAAACATCTCTCTCTCTCTCTCTCTTTCTCTCTCTCTCTCAGGGGAGGGACGTTCGTTGTAAGTGTACATGACTTGTATTTTGTGCACATATCATGTGAATTTACAGTTTTCACTAGTGTTTCTGAGGAAAAGGTATAGTTTCTTAAAAAATAAATTTACTGTCCATGATTGTATCCTAGACATTCTCGAACTTAAAATACGTTGCAATTAGTTATCCCATTAACAGCTTGTGGATTTGACATGGGGTATTATTCTTATCATTCATTTATTGGTTTATACACACCTGGATGGAAACTCATGCCAATGTGTGTATCATTCCTGTTTCTAGTAAAGAAAGTTTTGATGTCTTACTGGTTTTGCTACCTATACAGGTATGCAGATGCTGCAACTTTTCTTTTAAGATTGGCCTTAGCAGCTGATAAATGCAATGCTACCCATAGCCAATGCAAGGTGTGAAAGCTTGTTAGTTTGGTTTCCATCTATTCAGAGCCTTTCTTGATGCAATTTCCCTTCCTATAGTTAGTGTGAAATATTGGTTTTAAAACTATGTTTGCATTATTCCCTTTTGTGTATTGATGAATACAACAGTAAGATAATTACATTGAATAGGCTTTAATGTGTCTAATCTATTATTTGAGGGGTAATCACAGCACAGATTTAAATTTATTCCCTGATATTCTCTTTCTTTCCCCCAAAAATTTCAATTTTTTATGAAGCGACTACAATAGCTTTTTTGATTTAAGCATTAAGGAAATAAAATTTAGGTGGTTTGGGGAATACAGTAGTCACCTCTGAATAGATCATACTGCCTTGAAAATCAGTAAATTAAGATTGCGGACAATCAATACGCCGAAAAATACACAAAACGTTTATTGATTGATATCTTGACGGATCAATAATTGAAGATGCTTTTTTATGCACTCAAAACATTGTAATCGTAATACATTAGAAGATTGTGTATTTCTGAAACAAAACACAATTGTGGGAAACGCAGATATATTTGAAGTCCAGAAGTCCTTTTCGTGTCCTGGAATTATTAGCTTAACCTCTTTTGGATGTAGGCTTATCTCAGTGCCATCATTGTGCATCTTTATGCTCACGACTTCCAGCAAGCAGAGAAGTGTTACAACGATTGTTGTCAGTAAGTTGAGCTTTTTGTGGCTTTTGCGTTTTACTCAGTTGGCATTCTTAAATGATGCCTCCCATTACTGGATTCGAATGAAAAGTACTAAATGGTATGGCTTGGTATTATCCACACACGCATGCTCATGGCTACATCTTGATGGGTGAAAAAAGTGAAGAAATGGTATTATTTTGGACCTGAAGAAAAAATTGGTTCCATTCTAGGAACAAAAGATATGTGGACTTTCTCTAGATGGGCCTAAATAATGTGAAATGATGTTTCTAAACGGAATGAGATGAAAGGGACAAAGGGGCAATCCCCCCTTTCCATTCTCTTACTATTACTTTGTTTTAACTTTTTAAACCAGAATTCGCTATTTTCACCCCTCCATGGCCCATGTGATGTGACAATTTATAACTGTAGGGCTAAATTGGATTGAAACGAAGTTGAAGGAATGAAATCATGTTTGGAAAAATTTAGGGGCTTCCAGAGTAGTTTCCCTTTTCATTTATGGAGGGTCAAAGTCCCAAAAGTAATCACTGAATGGGAAAGATGTCGAACGTCTAATACAGATATCTTTTTATCAGTGTTTGGCCACTGTCTTGGTCTTCTGTATTTTGCATTGCATGAAAGGTGAGGATTGAGGAATTTCTTCCCCTGTCCTTGACTAATGATTTCTTCGATGCTTGAATAAGCTTGTGTTTTTTTAAAATTATAGGACATAATTCGTGTACTTTTCGTTAAATCCAACTGTCTTGCTAGTAATTTGTTTTCTCGTCATATTCATTTTAGGAAATTTACCCTTACTTTTATTCGCTAATTATGGCAATTTTTTTCCCTCTTTGCTTCTTGGCAGGGTTGAAGCTTTCTTGAACAGCGATCAAAACCGTGCCGCCAGTAGACTCCTTTCTGCATACACTGAAGGTGATGTCGAAGAAATCAAACGTGCTGCTCAATCAAGCATTGTCTCCAATCTTGATCACGTGGTAAATGTTCCAAGACATTTAAACATTGTCTATTATCATATTGGATTCAGATCACCCTTTTTTCGCTCTGGAAAATGAAATGAACTTTTGTGGTGAACATAAGCAAGTATTGCTTCATGGTTTAAATCTGTTGGGAGTTGTTAGTGGGTTATTAGTTGCGGACTTTATATTTTCATAATTCAAAAATCATGCAACTAATGATTGTTCAAGAGTTCTGGCAAAGCTATTGTTTTTTGCTTTTGCTTCTTCTAGAAAAGCTTTTGGATGAAGATATCTTAATTTTTGTTTGAAAACTAATATTTAAAAGAGCGTCTTATTTTAGAAGTACTTTTAAAGATAGTCACATTGGACCAATTTCCTCTAAAAGCACTTTCATAAAATTAGTCAACTGGTTCAAAAGCTGCTTTTAGATCTCAAAAATTCCTTTTGACTTTTAAAAGACATGCAAAACGGGACCGGCCTTAGGGATGTATACAGTAGCATTGAAGCGCTTCCCATTCTTTGTACATCTCATAGAGAAATGTCATATGGAAACACTTCTCGACTCTAAAATTGCCCATATTAGTAAGGTTTTACCAACTCAAAACAAATTGACAAATGAAAAATTTTAGTCATTTTTCGTTCTCTATCCTTTTACTTGTTTCATTATCTTCAATGTTCATATTGATAATGGAACGATTTAGCTAAAAGTAAGTTTTATGCAGATCGTCAAGCTTGCAAGGAAGCTCCCTACAGGTGATGTCAGTGCATTTAAGATGGACACAAAGGATCAAGAAGAACCCTTGGATGAAGATGATCTTACCTAAACCTACATCTAAGTCGATTTATCTTAAAAGTACCAACGGGATTATGTCTACATATTGTAGAGTGATGCAACATTATATGAATTTTTACTGGATGAAGATGTCTTTGGTATATTTCCCAAGAAAGAAAATATTGGTTGTGTACTATTGGTATTTCTGTGAATTACTACCGAGTTTTCCTGATATCTTTATTATTCTGTGACATAGCAGCAATCAGATGAAACAAATTCAGATTCTATTCTTGAAATTTCAGACTGACTTGCCTTAACCATTTCAATAGACCTTTCTTCGATGGGGAAGACGATTTTGATAGAAAACGAAAATTTGTTGACAATATTCAATATTAAAAATATATATATAAATATATATCAAATACGAGCATTTAAGAAAATTGGATAAAATTTCTACAATTAATATTTCAATTTAATTTAAAATTTGAAAACTAAACTCATAGATAATGATCAATTTTAGATAATGATAAAAATTAAAGATAACGACTATCTCTAAATGAAATTAAAATTCGAATTTAATTAAAATTATGAAAATTAAGAGTCTCAATACTAATTAAAGATTAAACTAATTATAAATTAAAATACAATATATAGATAAAATTGCTTGAATTAAATTAAAATTATCAATATTCAATCTTCATCAGTTTTTGAAATGATTAAGCCCTTGTTTAAGTCACATTCTTTTTAAAAAAATATATTTTTAAACAATAATTTGATATCATTTTAACCACACATTTTTCAATAAAATAATATTACACGCAAATCCAAAATTTTTCGTTATTTTTTAACCACATTTTCCATCAATACAATATTCAAAAAATTTATTTTTCCCTCAAAATGGGGATCAAACAAGGGCTAAATATAAAAACACCACGTTATTTTAGCCCTAATTGAGCTATAATTTTCTCAGAACTCTTTTTTTTTCAACTATACATTCTTCTATAAAATAATTTTACAAGTAAATTCAAATTATTTTTCTATTTTTTAACCATACATTCTCCCAAAAATCAATATTTCAAAACAAATTCTCCAATAAAAATGGAGCTCAAACAGTTTATTCAATGTCATGCTTATGCCCCTAATTTTTTTTATTGCATTCCCATTCTCAACTTAGCACATTTTTGTCATTGATAACAACATTATTTAATGATTTTGTTAAGAGTGAAGAAAACTAAAAAGACTTATTTATCTCTCATAATTTTAAATAAACCAAAAATATATATAAAAAAATATGATTAAATATTTGTCCCCTCACTGTAACGCGCTAATCAAATTTTTGAGTGAAAACTATCATAGGGACACTATGTTCTAATTTATGAAAGATTAAGATTAACGATGTGATGGAAAAAGGTTAAAGACTTCAACCTGAAAATGAATAAAAGTTAATGATCCTCGTTACAATTAAAATGTTGTGCATTTTAATTGTAAGAATTTTAGTAACACATCACATGCATAACATGTGAACATTTAGGCTGCAGTTAGTTTGGCGTTTTCAAGTTGTTTTCCGTTTTTCGTTTTCGAAAATGCGAAAAACGCGTTTGGTTCATTGTTTTTGAAAACGAGGTAAAATTTATAATTGAAAATATAAAATGGTTTTTCATCGTTTTGAACGTTTTTAGTTATCAATGTCTAAAACACGAAAAATGCCCAAACGCGTGTTTTCAAAGAAAACTAAAAATTGTTTAAAACTGAAAATGGAAAACACAAAACTAAACCAACTACAGCCTCAATGTCTAAATGGGCATTTTCCCACATAATGTTCAAAGGTTGACAACATGATTAATAATTATGAAAGTGATTTAGGACAATCTTATCAAGGTTGGGAACCTATGAGAAATTTAACACATGTTAAAGTGTAATAAATTGAACAACAGGTTTTCTCTTTGCCTGTTTGGACAGGAGCTTGTCCAAGAAGATTAATCCGTATTTTTAAGTTAAATTATTGCCAATTCTGTGCAATCTGCTGACAGATTTTGCACCTAAAATGTCCCAACAAACAAATGAAATTAATATAGAGTGAGAAGATAGTAGGCTTGCCCTGTATCAGCATCTCCTGATTCAAACTTTCTTGGAAAAAATTAGAGGAAACAATAACAAATCAATAATACCTCATTAGCAACTAATATTGCCTACATATATGTGTCGAATACATATATTACTGGCTGCTTCCTACGAACTCTAAGAGCCATATGGTTAAACTTGAATATAGATAGTTTAAAGAATAAACATAAAATCCCCTGCCCTCAATCTCCTCCCCTAGGTGCTAATAGAACTGGGCAAAAATAGGCAGTAAAATGGGGTTCTATGTTAGTCGTCCACAATGAACGCTGACTGCATAAACATCTATGCTGACGACACCTGAGGAGTTCCGTACCCATTGAGATGTGCCTTCTGCCATCTCCAAGCGATCTGCAAACTCTTTTGAAGATCGGTATGTTTTGCTGTCCAGTTCAACTCGTCCCTGATCTTGGTCGGATCACTGTATACTTCTGCATAATCACCAGGCCTACGTGGAAGAAAGTCGACTTTAATGGGCACCCCAGTTGCCTTCTTACAAGCCTCCACAAACTCATTGACAGATCGACCTGATAATAGGGATAAGAACAAAGTTTCAATAACAATAGTCTTTCGCAATCGGAAACAAGCATTTGGAGAAATAAGTTACCTCTTCCTGTACCAACGTTGTATATGCCAACATGCCGTGGTTTTGCCTTTTCCAGAGCTTTCACATGAGCATCAACAAGATCGGTGACATCAATATAATCCCGTATGCATGTGCCGTCCGGAGTCTTATAATCCGTTCCTCTAACCTGCACCACAACAGAAGTACAGATATAATTGTTTGTCAAGCACATATTATCAGTTCTCGAGCTATAAATAAATTTCCTGTTCGAAGGTGTTATGAGCAAAAGTATAGCAGGTGTTAAATCTGAAGAGTAAAGATACGCAGACCTTAAGCCCAGAGATGATGCCACGTGCCGCATCAAAACAAGCACCAGATATTCTTCCATGCTCGCGCAGTTCCGGACGGGGAGCTTCTCCTAGTCTTCCCTCAGGGTCGGAACCAATCACATTGAAGTATCTGAATATAAAATTGAATAAAGAAAGTAAAAGAAATAGTTTAATAAATAAAGTAGGAAAGGTAGAGCCCATACTTGGCAAAAGAAATATAATGATATTTTCAATCTGGAAAGGTCAGAGGGGCAACAGAGTTTAACAATGAACTGAAGAAAGTATTACTATTGATAGTTGTAACTTTTCGCCTATTGTTAACTCTATTAGGAGTTTGACAGTCCAAATTTATTCAAGTAAATCATCATGACTGGATGAATATACCACTTCAACACACACTAATTAAGTGGAAACAAAACTTAAAGAAATGAGAGATGAAATAATATCAGGTTCTGTCGCCTCAATCACTTAATAACATACAATACCTAGATTTTAGAGATCCAAGAAACTGTGAATACAATACAGAAAATTTTTACTATAATTTCAGTTAATTAACTTGCTGATGAAGAAAAGCAACGTACTCGTTTTGGGCAACTATTAACACAGATCAACTCTATAAGAGAAACTTAATTTGGACCAAACATTGGAAGCTCATACATTCTTGTAAAATGGAAAATGTCTAATACATATTAGCTTGTACCTTAAAATCATGGACGTGACAATTCACTGCTACCACCTCCCTATCCAGCAAATCAGGTCATTACTAAGTCATGTGTCAGATTTATGGGCAACAAAATGGTATTAGCATTCAATACTTATGATTAATTGATAGCTTTAACAAGAGGTCTTAGCCGCACAGATGAGGCCACGTATCCTTTCATTTTACAATCGACATTGATCCTATTCTATTATAAAATCTCACATAAAGTGACATTCCAAAGGTAATACAAGTTCAGACTCTCAAACTACAACTCTGCTATCCTCACTATTATTATCACAAAATGCCACAAAGCCAACCGCCTTTTTATATTGGAGGCTCGCGTCTAAAACACCTCCCACACCAATATATACTACTACAATTGACTTAATCATCAGAGTGCGCACAACCAACTTTACCCCCCAGAAAGCCACGTATGGCTAACGGTTTGTCAAAGTGTGCAAAAATCAAGCTTGTGTGGACATGAGAAACCTTGGGATCTGTTGGCCACACTAGAGGTACAAAATCCGAGGTCAATAACCAACAAAATCAAAAGTCTAAGTTGCAAACAAAGTTAAAATAGATCAAGAACATAGAAAATAATAAGTTCTCAAATACAATAACAAGTAGATCTAGAAGCCACATAGGGCTATCTAAATTTGTTTCCGTCGTCTTGTGCAACAAAATTTAATTTATTACTAAAAATGGAGACAACTCAAGAATTTCATATATCTTCACTACTAATATTATCGTCAAGGGAGTCATTAACATCTGCATCCTCATTACACGTTTCTTTTCATTTTTTGTCATCATCCTCTAAGTGCACTGGTATATTCTCCTCCTCATTTTCTTCCATGTAGGTAGAAAAAACAAAATAAAAGAGTGCGAAAAATATTTTAGTTATCAACTTATAAAGAAATAACTCAAAAAGCTACCGTCGACAATTAAATGTTTGAAAATAGGGGCAAACACCTTAGTTGGCGTAAGGCTCGTGCTTGAGGCATTAGCCTTAGCAAATTGAGGCATAAGCCTCACAAATGGCATTCAAGGTGCTGGTTTTGAGGCATTTTATGATAGCCTCATGAGAGGTGGGATTCGATGCGTAAGCCTCGATGTTTTTTCAAACAACGCATAGTGATAACAATTTTAAGGAACAGGTAATTCAATCTTTTTTTCTTTCTCAGAAAGCTTAACAACAAAACCAAGCACTGAAAATGATAAGGGACTAGAGAGTTACTTGGCTAGGGGAATTAAAATTTGGGGATTGCTTGAGCATAAGAATACACATTGCTGTGAGGGTAGCAGCCATTAGAATTTTTCCTAGTATATTGCTCTTCTTCTTCGGGTCGGCATAATCCATGCCTGCAAATAGGAGAAAATAATAGGTTAAGGAACAGCTAGGTAATTACTACTAATATTAAAAACTTACCATACATCAAGCAGATTAACAGCAAATACGTACATACTAAACAATTCCGTGACCTTAAAATATCTCACCTCCTAAAGACATAGATCTATTAGATCTCTGCTGAGTTCTTGCCCTAGTAAAGCTCAGCATTTGAGAAATATGTTATTCTCTATCAATAAAGGAATTAACTAAAAGGTCCAAGTCTTGGACGTCAATGGCCAATTGAATCCTCTCCTATAATTTAGATGGAAAGTTCTGTAACTCTGCTTCCACTACATAGAAAAATGAAAAATATCCCATGATCAGTAGAAAAAATAAGAATGGTGACAATTTAAACTAATTTTGTCGTGTAAAAAGATGATCATAATTACATATCCTGAGAAACCTAAATTTTGACCCAAAAAGTTAAGTAAATTGCAGTATTACACCCCACTCCGACGACGAGAACAGAAGACAAAGAGAAAGGACAAAACACAAAAATTAGAAAGGATCTAAAGAAAACCCAAAAACTTCGAGATCCACCATGCACCGATCAAAAATCCCTACTCTAATTAACCACGCATATAAAGAAAAAAAATCAATTCTTGAATTATAACAATTAAAACCTACATGAATTAAAAACATAAAAAATTAAGAAATTGTTCATAAAACTGAAGACCCCATGTACATTCCATGCTTTGCTTCCATAATTACTGATGGGAAAACCATTTTCTTGATTTTCTTTCACTATGTGGGTTAATCATTCATGCGATTGAACAGAAAAAATCCGAAAAAGATAAAAAGGACAGAGCCCAGGATGTCCCCGTAAAAGGACAAAAGGTCGATATTTGGAATGGCAATTCGCAACATCCAATCAACGAACAAAAGCATCAATGTAAACAGTGACTCACATAATTAACAGATTAAAAATCCGATGTACAGAGGGAACATACGAGAAAGAAAGATGGAGAGAAATCCAATATACAATGAAGAAAGATGGAGAGGGTACGTTGAGCTTTGTCTTTTGAATTTTCTGCCAATGAAAGAGATAGCTCATTTTTATAATTATGTTAAATGAGTGAGTACATAAAGTTGGGTTAGGATCACAATCTAAATAAAGTTAGATGATAGGTCAAAATGTGAAATTAAATGATTTATTTAATTTTATCTATCATTTAGTATAATATTAAATTTCAATTTAAGTGACGTTAGATAATTTATCAAATAAAAAATGTGAAATTAAATGACTTCTTTAATTTTACATATTATTTAATATGACATTAAATCTCAGTCCAAGTGACGCTAAATAATTTATCAAATGAAAAAAGTGAAATTAAATGACTTAGTTAATTTTACCTATCATTTAATATGATATTAAATCTCAATCTAAGTGATGATAGATGATTTACCAAATGAAAAAGGTGAACTTATTTAATTTTACCTATCATTTAATACGGCATTAAATCTCAGTCTAAGTGACACTAGATGATTTATCAAATGAAAAATATGAAATTAAATGACTTATTTAATTTTACCTATCATTTAATACGGCATTAAATCTCAGTCTAAGTGACACTAGATGATTTATCAAATGAAAAATATGAAATTAAATGACTTATTTAATTTTACCTATCATTTAA